TCACCTATCAGGAAATGCAAATCAGTTTTCATGGGTAATGAGAGTAAATCCTTTATCACCTTCCTTTACATATTAATTATTAAAATACCCTATGAATTAGACCTTGTTCCTCAAAACAGAGAATTTACCTCAGTCACGTTCTACATCATGAATTTTTTATGTGGAGCATATATATTGCTCAATTAATCAGTAGTTAAGATCTGTACATAAGCAAGAGCATGGCTATAAATTACATTTGCTTTTAGGTTCTACCTTCTAATTTCACACCCAGCATTTTCATAATCTCTGATTTTAATCACATGGAATCGTGATGTACGTAAGAATCACAGCAGCTCCAAGCTTTGCCTGCTGCGTGTGCTTACATTATAACCATACATTATTTAAACTCATTAAGAGTGATTCAGACCACTGTGTAATTTTAGTGTCTTGTAGAGCCACCTGGATTAATTCCAGTAAAATAATTAGCATGCCAAAGCAGAATTTATTTGAAACCATCCCCTGCTCATCCCCAATAACAAATTAACAGAGGTAACAACTCCTTTCTTAATTTAACACAAAGGGGGAACTAGATACCAGGATTTCTTATTAAAAATGGACTACCATAGCCCCAGTGCATTCACATCCAAATTTGACACCTCTGAAACCATTACAAAAGTACATGAAAAGAATTAACTCTTTTGAATTCTGGGATTTTGTAAGTTCAGATCTATGTTATTTTAAGCTTTAGCCTTGTTTTCAAATATTCCTCTGACCACCAAGGTTTCTAAAAAAAATTACATGGTATCGTGTCATGTGATTCACTTATAACAGAAGAAACATCACAGATCTTAATAAAACTGCAGCAGACATTCCCTCTTCTGCTCCCACTTCTGCAGCTGAAAGCTTTATTTCTTCAGCTGAGTACAGATTAGTGAAACTAGAGTTGCTACCACAGTGAATCCTAGCAAGGTCAGGAGAGTTCAGCCCTTCCCAATTCATTGTTAATCGAGTTTGTCCCTGTCTGATCTACTTAGTCATCTGCTATTATCTCCCATCATACTTAGATAGTTTTTTACCATACCAGAATATTATACCAGTGGCAACATATGATGCTAAACATGTGTGACTGTACAAACCCCTAAATTATGAACGGACAATAACTCATAACTCAAAAAAATCACAGATGTGACCAACTTCAACTATTTCAAAAAGTAGTTTGTTTTTTTCTCTGTAGGTAGTTGTGGACCTGAGAGTTGGATTCTTAAAAATCTGAGGTTAGAAGTATAGCTCCATGACATTCTAAGTGAGACAATTAGTACTATTGTGCTTAATGCCTTAAAAAATGTCAAAACTTATCAGCCTCAAAGGGCACCATTTTAAAGCTTCTGTTTTAATGATAAATAATGATTTGAGAATGCAAATTTTGTACTCAGGGAAAGAATAGAGAGGTGTCAGCATTCTTCAAGAAAATATTTTTAACAGTCTGAGCTGAATATTAATTCAGGAGAGTTTTGCACAGATTGATCTCTTAGCAACTTCAAAAGACGGTAGGCAAAGATGTATTTTGTAAACAGCTGATTCCACAATAACGATGGTCTGGAGGGCTCAAAATTCTCCATGAGAAATGCCATTCTTAGTTTGTTATTTTTTAATTATTCTCTGTAGATACTACTTTATCAGAAGAAAATTACTATAACTTTAAATATGAAATGTCAGTTTCATATAAAAATATCTTTTTTTTTTATAAACAAACTAGTAGGAAGAATCTTTCAAATGTGGAGCCTTTATTAAAATGAGAACACCATGAAGTGAGAACATTTCCTTTTTGCCTGGGAAAAACACATATACGAGCATGAAACTTCTGAGAGTGCTAAGTATTCATTGATCAATAGCCAGAAAGGGATGGTTATGTTTTTTTAGCAGTGACCACCAAGAACACAGGGAACTAAATAGGTCACATCTCAGCTCATTTGCTTTCTATTTTCCTGTTATTTAAAAACTCTTTTGATGCACACAGCAATAGGCTGTACCAGTTACAAGTTAGAGGTTTCTTTTCCTATTAAATTAATTATCAAACTGTCAATTATAAGTTAAAAGCATCTGTTTTTAGACACCAAGCTTTGCTAGCTGTCCTAAGAAAAACGCAGGCAGCAGGTAGAGACTACACTCCACAGTAAGTCAAATCTCATATACAAATAAATTTATTTATTTCTATTTCAAATGAAGAAGTTATATCCCCTTCAAAATCATGCTGAACTGGGAGATTTTCTGCATTTAGCATACAACGGGTAAAAGAATATCTAAGCAGAAGCAAATGTCATATCGATTACATCAGTACATTGTGCGCTGGTGGTTATGATCACCCTTCAGTCATGAAGGTGTCATAGAATATTACACAGATGAATCCTTCAGGGGAAAAATCTTCATAATTTCTAAGTAGAAATAAATAGAGTAAACAAAAATAAACAGTTTTTAAGTGATTACTTGCAATCAAAACCAAAACACTTACTCCGATAAACTTCCCCTTGCAAATATCCTCCATAATGCAGACAGGTGTCCTTCATAATACAAATCATGCTAAGTTGAATGTGACAGTATATTATCTGGACTTTCACCTGGTTGCTACTACCTTGGTTAAGAAGGATATACTGAATTAAGAGAGGTGAGAAACTGGTTTGGTATGCATAAGGGTAGAATCATGTGGGGAAACTGATATTGAACAAAAAGAAGAACTGACTGTCTCAAAAATGCCAGTTATTTCTCAATATTAGAAATTACTAGCACGTTGAAGAGCAGAGAGTTAATTCTAAAACACAGGAAAAGTTGTTTAAGCATAAAACTTTTTTACTGCGAAGATGGTCAAATATTGGAACTGATTGCTTAGAGAGAATTTTGGAGGCTTTTCCAACCTTGCATATATTTAAAACCTGGCTGGACACAGTCCTAAGTAACCTGATTTGGCAGATACTGATCTGAGCAGAGGGTTGGAGTAGGTGATCTCTAGAGGTCCCTGCCAGCTTCAGCAATGCTGTGGTACTGTGACTTTTAGGAAAGAAAAATGTTTCCTTGAATGGCTGTGAAAGCCAGAGTTATCCTTTCATGTATCAGTTCACTTTCAACAAAGTGATAACTGCATTATCAATGACTGAACTTAGTGTGCATGTCAAAATTGACACACAGCACTACTGTTAACTCCCAGCACAAAAGGTCTCGCTACTCATGTGTTTGTTCACCTTGCTCAGTCTCAGCTTCAGCTCTGTCCTGAGGAACAGGAATTTGGGATTAATAGGAAAAGGCAAAGGGTTAAAGATTGTCCTCTGCTTAGGCCTCCCAATGGATGACTGAAAATAAGGCACCCAAAAAAAAAATAATACTGGCATGCCAGTACATAATGTGGACCAGCCTAATACAGGGAAGAGTTAATGTATCCCATGGGACAGAAAAATACCCTCACAGAAAGGTTTCTCTTTTTTTTTCTTTTTCCTTTTTTCTTCTCTTTCAGTAACCACTAGTTCAAAACCAGATACTTTTTCATTAGTGTCCAGAATGTTTTACTGCACTCTTTCATCTCCCCTTGTAGCAATAGAGTCAGAGAGAGAAATCGTGACAGGTATTGATGAAATACAATAATCTAGGGAGAGAATGGTTTCATATAAAATGCACAGCTTATCTTTTTATGCTAAACTTCCATGCTCACCAAATGAAAACAGATCACTTTCTTTGTGCATTAACAACACAGTCCCAGAATATCTACTAGAAATGCAGATAATTATCACTGCAAACCTTACAATACGCTGCCTACTTTTGTCATCATAACAACATTTCCCATTTGCCAGCAACATGTTTTGCTCCAGGTTTTCTTTAAAATCACTAAAGAATCATTTAAACTTTTTCTATCTTCATATTCCTGGAGACAGGGATTCCCTTTTCATGAACATTACATAGGAAGAAAAAAGGCTTAGAAGAGGAAAAAACTGTGAACTACAGCCAACATTTGTATCAATCAGAGGGATTGGTATATTACCTAAAGCAAGAAAAGCTTTCACTTGGAAACTAAATTCAAAATGACCTTGTGCTTTTTTGAAAAAGGCTGGCAGCTGAGGTCATTGGAATAAATTGTGATAGACAGTGCTTCCCTCTGCATAGTTACAAAGCATGTCTAGTATGTGAATTACCACCAAGTAGGGAAAAAAACCAAACAAACAAGACACAGCACATTGTGCCATTTCTTTGTAAAATAATGGCAAATAGAGTCTACAATAGTTATGACTTTGAAGAAATAACATAAGTTTTCAGGAACTTTATTTTGCCATCAAGTATGTTCTGTCCTTTTCAAATTTCTACCTTCATCAATTAATCCTATTCTTTATTGGCCTCTACTGTTAACAGCACAGACATCTGTAACTACGTTTCCCCAGCAGGCAGATCCCAGCTGCACAGAATATTATGTGGTGTTGTTTAAAAATATATATTGTAGTTGTGTTAAAGCTTACTAAATCACTGAGTCAAAAACAATGAAATGGAAAAGAAGCTGGAACTGCTAACAAGTGTTTTAATTGAGATTTAAATATGAAAATTGAAAGCAAACTCCCCACTATTCGCTTTTGTAAGGAAATTGTTAACAGTAATTTCAGAATATGGCAATATTCAAAAGGGTATGTTTTTCAATTCATTCTCTTGCAAACACATAAGCAACCTCTGTCAAAGGATTATAATCTGTCAATAGGACTGCATGAGTCCTCCACTTGTTTCTATAATAGCAGCTTTTCACCGGAATATTTTGATCTACAGATTCTTAACATATGCCTCTTTTGGGAGCAGCTTAATGCTAAGACGAAAAATACACTTGGGGTTTCAAAGCAGGTGGAAAAATTCACAGTTCTGATTAAATGAGAACTGCTTCTAATCCTGTTTTCCATTGTGCCTTAAAGCATCCTATATAAGGAAAAAAACACATCTTGTCACTTCTGAAACATTTAAAGAAGAAAAAGGGAGGGAAAAAAAGAGTATATGTAACTTACCATTAAAGTTTACTGCCCGGATATAACTAAGTAGTTCTTTACCATCAATTGTGCTCATCCTTGGGCATAGACCAATATATCCAGGGCAGAGATCTTTATGCATGTTGTGTAGTGCATAGGCCATGGAATACACTGCATCAATTACAAACTGAACTTTTCCTTCTTGCTCATAGGATGAATCTCTTGCAATTCTTTCTAAGCCTAAGGAAGAAAGAGAAAGAGTCAGTTTACTTCTATTTATGTGTGTGTGTGTGTATGTGCATGAGTATTTGTGTGCAAAAATTCACAGTAAAACATAAATAATTACAGTCAGATTGATAGGTAAAGTTAGAACTCATCCATTCATCACCCAAATAAACAAGACAAGGAAAAATATGGCCATCTGGTTTTGCCTCTAATCATTGTACACTGTGCCAGGTATATAAACAGTATGTTGAGTTCTGGGCTGGGAAAGAGGACAAAACATTTCATTACAAGAAAAAGAAATACAGATATATGTATTTCTACAATCCAGTAGAAAAACTCTTTTTCCATCTTATTGACTTTCATTCAACAGCTGTTTATTGTTATTTATAGGACACTTCTGCAACAGTCTGACATTCTGTTTTAGATAAATTTAAGGCTACCTTGATTTTTATTCCTGTCTATTGTTTGATAAACGCTATTTAAACATGTCGGGGAAAAAAAGCTGAATGCTTGCCAAGTGATGTGGCCATCTGTCTCCATATTGAAAAGTGCTTATTCTGAGGCGTTGTTCCTGTATTTACTAGTGAATTATGCTTCACATTGAGAACAGTGCACTGTCTGCTATTTCCTACAGGGACATTTTTCCTTCAGAGGGAATACAGAGTAAATCAATACATTATGAAATTTTGATTCTGCCAGAATTGCCCACATTAATCATAGAACCATAGAATGGTTTCAATTGGAAAAGACCTTTAAGATCACTAAGTCCAACCATTGATCCAGCACTACTAAGTTCGCCACTAAACCATGTTACTGATCATCTATGTCCAAATCCAGAGAACCTTTTACCTTCATAGGTGATAGTACTAAGTGGAAAAATTAAAAAATAAAGCTAAGGAAAACTATATTTTAGGTAGACAGTAGACAACCAACATGAAATCCCATGTCCTGTATAGGAATTCAGCCACTGATTTCAAAGGTTCAAAATCTTCATTCACAAGGGGAAAGAGGGCTCTGTAGTTCTCAATGTGAAATTTGCCCTGCTGAAATCACACTCAAGTTTCCACTGACTCAGTGAACTCAAGATTAAATACCTAGGTTATCTACCAGATTAATAACTCCTTCAGTTTGAAAATAACCTATTCACATTACTTAAGACTATTTAGAAATTAACTAAAAGTTTATGCAACTTTTTATTTTAATATTCTATCTTTTTTAATGTTTCTTTTTTATCTCTAAACATGGGCTTTTATCAATTCAAAATAAGATTTTAGTTGTATCCAAGTTTAAAAGTGCATTGTTTATGCCTGAAAATATACTGTATGTGAGATCTTTCTTTAGGCAAAGTATGCAAGTCCATATGACTTGAAAAGAAAGCCAGGGAGTCTGCTCAGAAGCCTTCCTTCTGTTTGCCTGCTGCACTTTAGTGCCACTGTCTCACATTACAATGATAACATATGAACAAACTTACGAACTGACAATCAGCAGTGTTTTGTGCTTTAAACATCCCTTAGCATTGGGAGCAACAGATAGCTTCACAAAATCATTATGTGCTTTTATTTCTCCTCAGGGATTAGTAAAAAAAAAAAATCCCTATCTCTTGAAAAACTATTAACTATTTGGAGACGAAAGCAGATAACTAATTTTTGTGATTTATAACAAACAACTTCATGCACACTTCTCAAGACATGCTGTCTAATCATTGGCAAATAATTAGTAAATAGTGTGACTCTAGTGAAAAACAACAACAAAACCCCAAAACAGAAAAACTTTTTCTTGCACATTCTGAAAATCACACAATTATTTGCAATGCATTGTCTAGACACAAAAGAAGCATGGAAAAGATGTGGTTTAATTAGATCACAACTTTATTAACTTATTCCACTTAGAAACTAGTTTCCAACAGTAAGTGATAGGTAGAGCTCAGAATCTTTAATTATTCCTGCCTTGTTAAAGACTGCCAGACAACAAGTGAAGATCAGAGTTCACAGAACTGCTACAGGCACACAGCAGTCAACAACCTGCACAGGCTCCCAAGAGCCTCTATACACGATGATCAGGGCAGGAGGAGTTTGAAGGAGAGATACCTGCTTTAATTGCCAAGCTAAATATAATTCCCTTCACGTATCAGATGGATTGGTGTGTATGTTTAATGGTGGGGGATTATTGAAAGACAGAAAGAATAATTTTCTGTAATAAATGCTAAGTCATAAAACACTAAAAGTTGTAAACATTTACGTAAGTACATTGTACTAAGTGGTACAGATTTTTAAAGGGAGAAAAAATTATGTATTACACTCCCCTATGTTACACTGTAGTTTAAACACACATAGAATTTGCATAAATTTCTTCCACAGCATAATATTTTACCTCCACTATTATGACTATGTGATCATAAACTAATTTATCACATAAATTTCAGAGAAAAAAAAAGAATTTATTTGGACAGAACATGTTTCTTTACATCCAAAAGGGTGATCATCACCACAGAATTATCATCCTGGGCTGCATCAAAAGAACCGTAGCCACCAGATTGAGAGGTGATTCTGCCCCTCTACTCTACACTTGTGAGACCCCACCTGGAGTACTGTGTCCAGCTTTGGAGCCCTCATTACAAGAAGGACATGGAGCTGTTGGAGTGGGTCCAGAGGAGGGCCACAAAGATGATCCAAGGGCTGGAGCACCTCTCCTATGAGGACCAGCTGAGAGAGTTGGGGTTGTTCAGCCTGGAGAAGAGAAGGTTGCGGGGGGACCTAACTGCAGTCTTCCAGTTCCTGAAGGGGTCCTACAGGAATGCTGGGGAGGGACTTTTTACAAGGGCAGGTAGTGATAGGACAAGGGGGAATGGTTTTAAACTAGATCAGGGTAGATTTAGATTAGGCATTAGGAAGAAGTTCTTCACTACGAGGGTGGTTAAATACTGGAACAGGTTGCCCAGAGAGGTCGTGGAGGCCTCATCTCTGGAGACATTTAAGGCCAGGCTTGATGGGGTGCTGTATGACCTGATCGAGTTAAAGAAGTCCCTGCTCATTGCAGGTGGGTTGGACTGGATGACCTATAAAGGTCTAACACAACACATTCTATAATTCTATGACTTTATGATCAGTTTTAAACTTTTCAAACTCAGAAGACAATAGAGAAGAGTCTCTGTGCTCTGCACGACAAGAAAATAGATAAATTGGATTATGTCCTCTTTCTTTTTAGGTTTCTTTTCGTCTTCCCTTTCTGGAATTCTCAAAAATCTAAAACAATAATTTATAAATATAACAAGAACACATCAGCTTAAATTATATTACACTGCCCTAAATAAATTTTAGTGTACAGCAGTAAAATGATGCATATTGTCTAAGCCATAAATATGGTCAGCTACTATAGAGATAATATTACATGTTTGGAAGACAGGATTATAGTTTTTCTTCGGACATGTATATCAAGTAATAACAGTTTCATTTATAGCTTGACCCTGAGCCCTACAAGGCATGATTCTACACGTGCTGGTGACTTGAAAGAAAATAACAATTTGTATCTCATAATAGAAATGTTTTAAAGTTAAAAACTCAGAAAACTTCCAACTTTCCCCTCTGAAAACACTCAGGTAGATATTAGAGAAATGTGCTTTTTAAGATCTCTAACATTTAGTTGTTGCAATGGGCCATAGTCTTTCACTTAGTTAAAATGGAAATGATATTTTTTTCATCATCTGGTAGGTTTACATCTTTTATTTCACTAACTTAAAAATATTAATGTAATACTTCTGATTTTTCTGTGCGATTATTGTTACATCTAGCAACAGACTAATATTCTATGTCTGCTTGGAAAAACTCAGCTGCTAACTATAAATTTCCTTCTATACTATTTCAAGCCACTTTTGTTTGTTATTGTTTGATTTATGTATCTTACCCTTCTGGTTGGTAATTTTGGTAAAAATTAATATTCATTGGAAAACAAACAAACAAACAAATCCAGTTTAAAAAACCACCCAAAGCATGCCCTGTCCTTCAGTTGGGGAACAGCAATGTGAACAGTTGGCTTAACAGTGACAGAAGTCCCACTGCAGGAAGGAAAGGACTCTCCTAACTTGCATTTGTCACCAGCAAGGGAAGAGTCCTGTCTGAGAGCTTGTATTCCTCCCACCTTTCCACATTCCCATCCACTCTTCTGTCCCTCCGTCACCTCTCACATGTGCTGAGTGACAAAACAACTCTATTATGGACTGTGCTCTAAACAAGTAGAGAAATCTTTCTGGGGTAACAGTGGGAGGACAAGTAATGTGGAGGGAGGGGGGAAAAATTACAATAAAACTATTGTGAAAATGATAACTGGCAAAATGGTTACTTATTATCAGCTTTATTCTATTTGCTTCCTTTTACCTGCCTTTGTCATATGTGCTTGTGGACAATTACTGCTTAAAGACAGTTGGTGCATCTGTGTAACTTGGGGTTTTATACCAAACTTCTGTTTTGACAAGTCTGGATCTTGGAAATTCAGTAACATTTTATCAGGTCACAGTTACAATTTTCACATTTTTTAACTCACTGCTAAATTATTTATCCCCATTACTTGGCTCACAAAACAGTTTTACTTAAGCTGCACTTGGAAGCAAACAAAATAAAAGATAAATATTATTGTGCTGAGATTGATCTCTCTGTGTGTGCCAATCACAATCACAAACAAATCATAATAATTTGTATGCAGTCTCCCACTACGCTTCAGCTCAGGCATGATAGTCCTCTATTTGTCAGAATTGGTTAGAAATTCCCATCTTTGCAGCAACATTTTTTTCCGCAGAAAGTTGGCATCTGTAACTGTAAGCCATTTTAGCAGGCTCAGCAGGGAGCACCAGGAGCATATGTTGCTCCTATTGAAGTCTTCCTGATTATTCAGCTGTTTTCCTGACACATTATAGTTTGCTCTCTTTGAACAAATAATGCAGTAGATATCATCATCTTCTGTTACTCAAACTTAAGGGGATGATATACTTTTATGGTAGGGGAGTTGAGGTTTCTAATAGCTGC